TTAGAAGAAAGTGCCTGCTCAAATTTTAAAGGAAGAAAGACTTATATATGTACAAAATAAGGGTTGATACCATGAAGGGATGGACGATGACTGCAGAGATGAAAATTATAAAAGATTTTGTAAAAGGAATTGAGAAGATAAGAAGTTGTTTTTAAAAAGAAAGAAGATTCAAAAAAAAAGAAAAAAAAAGGGAGAGAATGTGATCAGGCAGGAGACTAGAACAAAGCCATACACTAGTGGTTTAGGGTATATTTTGATCCGTTAGAAGAAATTGTATCTCAAAATTTTAAAGAGAGAACAACTTCTCAAAGTTTTGCTGAGACTGTGGTCCCCCGTCGAATACAGCTTCCCCTTCCCGAGTGCATCGCTGCTGTGTCTAGGTAGGGCCAGGGATGGTTTTCCTTTCACCTGTCCTATCCAAGCGCTGAAGTCCTCAGGCAGATCCTTCCTCCTGCCCTTTTCTTGCCTTCCCTGGCAGGGACCAGAGCATCCTGTCTCACACCCAAGCCCCACTTAGTTATACTGACAAAGTGAGTAATAATATATGGTAAGGTGAATTAGAACAGGTCGGATGACCTGTTAGAACCTTGACTCACACCAGTGACTGTCTCTCTCCGCTACTACTTGAGTCATCCCAGAGGCAGGGACATCAAAGGTAATGTCTTCCTGGAAACGTCTGGGGACTGCCGACATAAACTGAGGGTAGGATTATCTGGGCCTTAGAGGAACCCTCCTGTTGGCATCCCACCCAATTCTCTGTCTTCAGAGACAAAGCTTTTTTGTTTTAAATTTTTTTAAAGATTTTGCTTTTTATTTTTATTTAAGATTTTTTTTTAAAAATAAAGATTGTACTTATTTGTGAAAGTGCGAAAGCATGTGCCAGGCGGTGGGGGGAGTGGGTGTCGGGGTAGGGAGAGAGACAAGCAGACTTCACACTGAGTGCCAAGCCAGACTGGGGCTCAACCTCAAGACCCTGAGATCATGACCTGAACCAAAACCAAGAGTTGGCTGTTTAACTGACTGAGCCGCCCAGGCGCCCCTAAGATTTTTTTTTTAAGATTTTATTCATTTGACAGAGAGAGACACAGCGAGAGAGGGAACACAAGCAGGGGGAGTGGCAGAGGGACAGGGAGAAGCAGTCTCCCCGCTGAGCAGGGAGCCCAATGCAGGGCTCAATCCCAGGACCCTGGGATCATGACCTGAGCCAAAGGCAGATGCTTAACGACTGAGCCACCCAGACGCCCCTAAGATTTTATTTTTTAAGTAATCTCTACATCCAACTGGGGCTCAAACTTACAACCCTGAGATCAAGAGTCACATGCTCTATTGAACAAGCCAGGCAGGCACCCCTGGTTTTAATTTTTCTTCAGGTTTCTCGGCTTGCTTTCCCTCCTATTTTTCTTTTATAAGTCAGCTGTCTATATTGTGCAGAGGTTAAGAAGCTAGAATTGGAAAACTTGGGTTCAAATCCTAGCCCTGCCATTTATTAGCCCCTTGACCTTGGGTAAGTTTCTAATGGTTTTATCTTTTGTAAAATCGTGATGAGGTTATTTCGCCATGAAATGAGATAATCCTTGAAAAGTGCTGGGATAATATGGTAAGCACAAAATAAGCTGCCATGATTTAAGTACTGTACTTTCTGAACACAAAACTAAAAATATCCCCCAAACGGAAGAATTCTTTCTATGATAATTTACTATAAGTTTAAAGGCTGTTTTGTACTAACCTGGTATTTTTGTGGGTCCCCACATTCAAGAATTGGGAATTCTGGATATTCATACTTTTTTTTAGATTCAGCAAATATCAATTCACTAATGATGTGGAGAATCCAATTTGAACCTATAAGAAAAACAAAGAATCAAAGATTAAGGAGTCTTGATATAGCAAAGGCATGTTAACTTTCACATACATATCATAAAAATTAAAACCTACAGCCATCCTGTGGTATGTACAATGTACATTTGAAATAAACTGGGCTATAAAAGAAAAACTTTTGTGGAAACAGCACTTCTTACGTTAGTACAAAATTCAAGTTATCTTATTTTTCAGATTTTTCCTTTAACAAGTGGCAATGTTTCTTGAATCTATCATATGTTCCTTACAGAACAATGTTATGTTATAGAAATGATTTTTTATTATATATCATGTATTATTTCCCTTATGTTAATGAATATTTTCTATAGGAGTATTATAATTTTGATTTTATTAAAACCCAGCATCGATTAACAGAAAAATATCAGATGAAGATGGCTTTAATAAACACTTAGAGATGAAATACCAGTTAAAAAAAATCAAAAGTAGATTGTGAGATTTTATGAAATAGGAGAATTTAGATTCTTAATGTCTCGTCCTCCATTGATGAATCACCATGTAAAACTGGTTTGCAAAACTAAAGGATTGATGATGTTTGATCCTGAAAAATAATCTATTACGTGGAAATCATCATATGTATTATAGACATGGGCATGCTTTTGTCTTTAGTCAAGAATCAAGATGAAAATCTTTATTGTTGTCAGTGCTTGATAGCAAATGGACTTTCCTGCATTCATCTTTCTGGTAGCTAGCCCCACCATGAATCCTTTCTGCATCCATCATCCAGCAGACCCCCTCCCTCAGACACCGAGGTTTCTAAATCTAGCAGTTCTAGTTATTGATTTCACAAGTTATGCTTTTAACCGTCTTTTTCTTTTTTTTAAGATTCTATTTATGTATTTGACAGAGAGAGACACAGCGAGAGAGGGAACACAAGCAGTAGGAGAGGGAGAAACAGGCTTCCTGAGGAGCAAGGAGCCCGATGCAGGACTCAATCCCAGGACCCTGGGATCATGACCTGAGCCAAAGGCAGACACTTAACAACTGAGCCACCCAGGCGCCCCGGCTCTTAACCGTCTTGATCATCCTCCCACTGCTTTCCGGCTAGCTTCATGCAGCGATGAACTGCCCTCCTCCCCGACCTTGGCCTTGCACCCTGCCCAACTACTCACGATGAGAAAGTGCCCTTGTAGAAAATGATTTGTCATTTACCACACTTTGGATAAGATGCGAGCACTATGTCATCACTTCTGGCCTCAAAGGTGTCCAATGCCTGGAAATTTTCTGAGGTGCACATGGTGATTGGGTACGGAATCCCCTGATGAGTGAAAAACAAGCGAGAAAGTGCAGTTTCTTTTGATTTTTCCAAAGCTTCATCAATGTAGTCAATAAATTTGGACTTCCTGGCCATGCTGGCTCCCTGCTGATGAACCTGTTCTGTGGTCGTCCAGGGACAGCGATGGCTTTTAATGGAGTTTCAGGAGGTGGAATAAAGGGATCCCCCAGTTCACATGAGAAATAAATCATTGAATTCTCACCCCCTCCCCCCCACCTGCCGGTTTGCACGCCCACCTCTGACAAAAGGCAAACTGCAGGTGCAGAGCAGTGTGAGGATCAGGGAATATAACCCCAGGGGTTGATTATATTACCATCATAGACAATCCTCCCAAGGAAAGTAAGAATAGAGTCCATTACCAGAAGATAACAGATATTAACTTTCTAACAAACAGTTCTTTAACTGAATCAGACAATTTTCCAACACAGAATTGAGGAAATTTTGTATGTCAACAGAACATACCTTACCGAGGCAGGTGGTAGATGTAGGAGAGCAACTTTTAATCTCCATTTTACAGCGGGGAAAGAACAGACCAGAGAGGGTTCCTAGTTGGATAGGTTTCTGGGTTTCATTACATTTGTAATAATGTATTTTTAAAATGTTTGTCAAAAGGTAAAATTGGAATATCTGACTGTCTTACTATTTTTATATTTCCACAAACCACGTCCCTGTTGGAGATCTTATTACTTACATAACAATGGGATGCTATTCACTGTAGGTGGGAAGGTTGTGTATTTCAGAATCTCCCTCCCAGAAAAGAAAAGGAGGAAGACTGGACTCCTCGCCAAGCTGCTTAGTGGGATTGTCCCTTACATTATAGTCTTTGTTTTCCTGGGGAAGGTAGAATTTAAGGCATTAATTCACATGTTGCTGTTGTCCTTTGCTTGCTTCTTAATGAGTAAAATGATAAAAAAAAAACAAAACACAATATGCCTGGATCCTGTTTTGATACTAATGCCCGTAATTATAGGAGGATTTGGGGGGCTGATTGTGAGCTCTGATTCTTCTTAGTCTCCCTAGGCTGAGGGCAGGCTGTCAGTCTTACAGTTCTACCTACTTGACTCATTTTTTTCTTAAGATTTTATTTTTTAAAGTACTCTCTGCACCCAGTGTGGGGCTCCAACTCACAGTCCTGAGATCAAGACTCTTGTATTCCACCAACTGAGCCAGTCAGGTGCCCCTCCCCCACTTGACTCTTAATTGTCTACATGCATGGTGGAGGTAAACAGCATGAATGATTGTGTAATTACCTAGATTATATGATACATTTGCACTGGTGTGCTTTTGAGTGCAGGTTGGCCTCCAGTTCTGTACAATCCCAGCTCCTGTTTAGCTCCTCGATCCACCCAGGCCTGACATAAGTGATGGGGGACCACTTAGACGGCACCGCCCTGGCTTGGCTCACACTTCCTGGTGGCATCAGCACAGGAGGTTTGTTTAAAGCTCCTTTCCTTGAGATTAAAGACATTGTTCCCTCTTGATGTTTTTTCTTTTCATTTTTTTTCTAGGCTATGGACTTATACCGGGGGGGGGGCGGGGAAGAGAGAATCCTGGAAAGAGAGAAAGAGAGAGATTGAGAGGTTGAGAGAGAAAGAGGGAGAAAGAGAGAGAGAGAGAAAAACTTGGTGACCAAAAATGTCTAGGGTGATTGAACTCTAGTCTGATTAGAAAAGCAGGGAAGCAAGAATCAAGAAGCATATGGCTCTTGGAAACAAACAGGGTTCTTGGAGGGGAGGTGGGTGGGAAGACGGGGCAACTGGGTGATGGGCATCAAGGAGGGCACTTGATGGAATGAGCACTGGTGTTATATGCAACCAATGAATCACGGAAAAAAAAAAAGAAGCAGCAGCATATGGCTCTTGTGTGCCAATTGGCCCAAGGCTGATTTTTAGGGGCAGGTAAATCGGCGCCTGCTACGCCATCCTCCTCTTTATGTAGTAGAGTGCCCCTTCAGGATTAAGTTGGGCTTTTCCCCTCTTCTTTACCAAGAGAAGTGCTACTTCCTAGTGTAGTATAGGATTGAAATTTACTTTGGAATCCCACATATAGGGAGAGGGTATAACCTCTCGGTATTTTGGGAGTTTATTAAAAAACTGGCTCCCCTCTTCAGAAGTTGAACACCAGGAAGTCAGGGATGAAGTCTAGTTAGTGGATGCTGGAAACATTCGGGGTCCAGGGCAGTTTAACTGGTGACACTTTGGCATCCTAGACTGGGGGTGATGGAGAAGCACCCCACTCCAGCACGGGGATGCTGGCAAGCAGGAGTCCTGCCCCCACTTCCCCCGCCCCAGGGACAGTGCTGCCAGAGGCTGCAGGTGCCACTACTCTGTGTCCTGTGGCCATCTGAAGGGAAGGCTGGGTCATCACCAGGATCCTGGGCTTCTCTTCTCCAGTAGGTGCCTTTTGTCAATAGAAACGATGGGTCATCTAATCTCTGCAACCCCTTGTCAGCTGACTGAGAGAGCTTTATTTTGAGGATCCCAGACAGGTTGCTCTTTCTCTTTCCGTGGGAAAATGGACAGCAAACTTCCCAGGTACTTATTAATGAAGAGATCCCTGCTGCCCCTGCTCTTATGACCACTACAGAGGACTGGGACTTTGGCCAACTTCCGTGCCTTGGGCATGATGAAGCAAGGGAACTTCTTTCTGGTCACTTGCATCCCTCTGCTGGAGTTAGCAAATCAGGGTCACACTGGGGAATGTACAGCCTCCCAAAGGAGCCTTTGAGAGGGGTGCTGGAGACTTAGAGGAGGATGAACAGGACTTAATGAACTGGGGATCTTGAGCATTTGCATTCCAGGGTTAGGGTTGGGGCCGGTTAGTTACTCCTGCCTACTGAAACAGGTCTGCAATTCTAACAAGCTCCCAGGTGATGACCATATTGCTGATTCTTGGAGACTATCACACTGTGGGTTGCAGAGTATAGAAAAATAACTGAACACAGGTTTTTCGAGTCAGTGTCTTAAGTTCAAATCCAATTTTGTCTCTTGTAAGCTCTGTGATTGTAGGCAGGGTATAACTCTTTTCTTCTCCGTAAAATGAGACACTCATAGCACCTATTATGACATAGGGTTTTTGTGAGTATTAAATAAATTAACGGACATAGCCCGCAGTCTGGATCTGCTCTCAGGAAGGAGAGCACGATAAAAGGGAATTCGGTGTGGGGCGGGACCAACGCCAGGAGGGGCGGGGCCGTGCCAGCCCTTGCGCACGCGCAGTCGTGCGTGTAAGCCCCTCAGGTAAGAGAGCAGGGTTTCTAGCTGGGCGTCCTGACTCGGGCTCTCCACAGAGCGGAGTGGGGCAGGTTTTGTGGGGGCCTCGCTAAAGTTCTGGGATCATACGGAGGGAAGTTGGGTGTTACTATACCCATTCGGCGGGAGGGCGCGGGACAGGCCCGAGTGTTTCCGGGTCGCTCGGCGACCTTGTCGCCGAGGCCGGGCGGTGCGGCCTGCGCTTTCCGCGCGAGTTGGTCGCGGGCCGGGCGGGAGCGTTCGGGGAGCCCGGGCAGGCGGGAGAGCGCGGGGGGTCGCCGGGGTGCACCGGAGACCCGGGGGCGGGGAGCCGCCGCGGCGGCCTGAGGATCGTGGGTAGCCAGCCTGAGGCAGCTCTCGGAAGCCTCGCTGGTGCCTTGGTTTTGGACCGTGGGAACCTGGAAAAAGCGCTTTAGCTAATTAAACCCAGGGATGCTGAGAAACCTTGCTCTCCAACATCTGGAGTGCGAGAGACCTTGCTGTTTGACGAATCATTTTGCCTGCGATGCTGAGCCGCGTCGATTGCCGCGGTCGATTTCCAACTGTAGTGCACAGATGAAGCGTTTTCGGACGCAACATTGCACCTTTGTTTTAAACTTGTGCACCCTGAATCAGCTTCTCAGCCCAGTGTGATGTGAACCCCATGACACACAGCGCTGCTTTTTTTTTTTAAAAGATTTTATTTATTTATTTGAGAGAGAGAATGAGAGATAGAAAGCACGAGAGGGAAGAGGGTCAGAGGGAGAAGCAGACTCCCTGCTGAGCAGGAAGCCCGATGTGGGACTCGATCCCGGGACTCCAGGATCATGACCTGAGCCGAAGGCAGTCGCTTAACCAACTGAGCCACCGAGGCGCCCACAGCGCTGCTTTTCTTCGAGCCCATTCGAGGACTGCTTTTATTTTATTTTATTCATTTATTTTATTTAGGATTCATGTCCAATGCGGGGCTCGACCTTAGGACCCTGAGATCAAGAGTCCGTGGTTCCACCGACTGAGCCACCCAGGTGCCTCGAGCACTGCTTTAAGTTTCACCTAAATTCCATCCTTCTCCAAATTCTCGTCTAGTCTTGTTCTTTCTCTGCCAGCTAGTAAGCCAACTTTGTCGTGGACAGGTATGCGTTTGGTGGTCTTTATCAACTAGGCTTTAGTAGTTGTTATAAACACCTTGCCTGAAGCTGAGCGACTTGTAATGTAAAATGTGTATATATATAATTTTTTAAAGGGTAAATGCTGTAGCAGTGTTATTTGTACTTTATTTCTTGAACTCTTAACCTCACCTCCCAACAAAACCAAATTTTACTTGGATTCCTTTTACTGCGGATATTGCTGCAGGCAGGCTTTATTTTTAATTAGAAACATTTTTTCACCCATTGCACATTAAAAATTACCCCAAGAGAGGTCCCTGTACTGATCATGACTTACTTCCTGTCAGGTACAGCACTGTAAACAGCAAAAGAGTTCTCCATTCCCACCCACTCAACTGCCTGTTGGTTATACTTAGGTTCTTAACTTCCTCTGCTTCATTTTTTTTTTTAAGATAAAGTTTTAATCTTTTAGTCCCCAGGGTGATCGCATTATCAAAATGAGGGAAGGGAATTTTGGAGGGAAGGGACACCTGGTAAAGAGATTAATAGGATAATCCTACAAAAGTAGAGTATTTAATTACCCCACTCAGGCATTGTGAAAAGGAGTCAAGAGGGAATGGCGGTGAGCAGAGAGCTGGGATTGTAGAGCATTATAGATCTTACCCTCTCTGCAAAGAGGCAGAGAACAGTATGACAAAGAGCATACATTGGACGGGTATCAAAATCCTGAGATTAAAAA